AAATTTCCGACGGACACGCCGGTCGGAAATTTCCGATGGACACGCCGGTCGAAAATTTCCGACGGTTCTGGCGGTCGGAATTTTCCGACGGCAATTGCAACGGCCCGTATCGGTCGGAAATCCGTCGGAAATTTCCGACAGATTCCGACCGATATTTCATTTCCGACCACCTAAACCCGACGGACAGATTGGTCGGAATTCCGTCAGAAACACCTGTTTCCGACGGAATTCCGACCAATCTGTCCGTCGGAAACAGCTTAGTTTTCTTGTAGTGTAAGGCTACTGTATATATATCGAAAGAAGGCCGAGTTTTTGAATCTGATTTGGACATTTGACGCAGGTTGTGTCTGTTTCAGCTTCATCAGCAGCTAGTGTTGTCGATGTTCTGCGATCATTTACTAAACACTTAAACTAAATATCTAACAAATAAATGAAATTGAAAAAACTGATTTTGCAATTTGACTCGGCAAAATTAAAGATGCATTGCATGAGCTTTCACTCATTGTTCCATGAGAGTGATCTCCATCAACTTTTCACTAGATTATCTATTATATTACCCATCAAATAACTCGTAATCATCTAAAGGAATCACATATCATCCAAAAAGCATCAAACTTTAACGGAATTTATCGATCCCTCCAACGCTTTGTGTTGTCACCTTCGAAGCTCGTGAAATCCACTGTATCCGAGAGAGATGAATCCCTCCTTCTCTATGCATCTTGCTCCTAAAACAAAAGAAAAAAAACTGCAGTAAGAGAAAAAGGGATGATAAGGCAAACCTGAAATAACCCGTAAGATTTACGACACAAAATGTATAAATCCAAAACGGTAAGACAAATAAGTTCGTTCAAAAGTACTAACATTTCGAATTCCATAAGTAAAGCGTTAAAATGTTTAAGTATCTAACATCAAGATGCATACTGACACACAAGAAACCGGGCATTACGAGTAAAAGACTAATCTTTGTAAGTTCCCCAAAGCAGCTCAAAATTGTATAATCTTTCTAAGCAATATTCCAGTAAAGAACTAATCAATTAATCACCTTTAAGAACTTGAAGGAGGAGAAGTCTGAGAATCAGCAATTGAAGCTGAGGCAGTAGCAGCAGCTTGAGGAGAATAGATTCGAGCTTTCTTGATAATTTCTGAAAAAAAATCCAATTCCACCTACATAACCACAATAACCAAACACAAAAGCTTCAATTTTTTTGAAATCAGAAACTCAAAAARGTTCAAAATTGAGATCAATCAATCCACTTGCAASTTTCCTTAAACAATTGACGAAAGTTTCGAACTTTCTTTTGTAATCAATTAAAAATTTGAGAGAATTTTACTCGATCTCCGATGTTACTCCCTCCGTGGAGTTGGGAAATCCGAACATTATGTGGCACCAAGTCCAACATCTGCTCGAAAAACAAATGCAGATCTTTGGG